TTTTTTATGTTTAAAAATATTTACCTATTATTTTATCATTATATACATATTTTCCGCCGAATTTATTGCTTCCAATCAGTACCAAAAGATTTTAACTAGTGGCGGCGTCTTTTAGAAAAGAAATAATGTCAGTATGAAAAACCAGTGTTGTTAATAACTTGGTAAATTTTAAGATTTATTTTAAATATATAAAACAATTTTAACTAATACTTATTTTAAAATTACTAGCATATGATAAGAGTTAATGATATTTAGTTTAATAGTAAAATCTTTTTATAACCTTTTGATATAAGTTAACCTCTAGAAATGTCAAGTGTCGAGTTTCGATAAAAGTGTTCAATTCTTTAAATTACTGAGTATAAACGTTGCGAGAACTTCAGAAGATTTTAAATATCATGAGAACGTGATAAATATCATTTTATAATAAATGAAAATGGGCGAGACGTCTGAAACACAAAATAAAGATATTGGTCCTGGTGTAATAACAGAGCAAGAACGTCAGTTGGCTCAAAATGCATTATCTGAATTTCAAAAAGGAGTTTATGCTAGTTGCTTGTCATATCTAAATAAGCTAGAAACCCTTAGACCAAAAGATCTGAAAGTAATGCACAATAAAGTTGTAGTAGAATGTTATAAAAATGAATTGAAAAAAACAGAATTGTTAAGAAAAGGTTTAAATGCAATATGTGGACAAATGTCTATAACTGACTCAACTGAAACCATAGATGATATTGAGAAATGTGTTATGAGGTATAACCAAGCAGTTTTATTATATCATACAAAACAATATAATGTTGCACTACAAATCATGAATAGGTTATTTGCTTTTATAGAACCAATGGGTATGTAATATTAATGATGTCTATGACAGATCTTCTTAAAGAGTAAGTGGATAATATTAAACTCAGTTCATACATATTGTTTTTTTTTTATAGAGGAATCACTAGCACATAAAGTATGCCTCCTTCTAATAGAATTACATATAGTAACGGAGCAACCAGATGCAGCATTGTCTTTGATTAATTACATAGAAAGTCAACTTATATCTACAGATAATTCTAAAATTACATCTGTTGATAAAGATGGTATAATAAAATCCATAAAAGAACAGAAGGAACCCAGAAAAGAAATGGACACAGCTACAGATGCATTTAAAATAAAATTATTAAAATGTAAAGCTAGAATATATCTTATGATGCACCAGTTGAAGCTATGCAAAAGAGAATGGAAAACTTTAGTTTCTTTGGGTACACCTGTAGTAAGATATGATATATTTAAACCATGTTTTTCTATATTCTATGATTTATGTTTTTGGTTTTATTTAAAATTTTTTTTTAACTACTTTCAGAATATATCAACTGTATTTTTAAAAGCTAATCTTGAATATTTAAGGGGAAATTATAAAAAAGCTATTAAGTTATTAAATTCTGTAACATCAGAGAATTTAGATTTCAAGTATGTTAGATTTATAATTATATTAACAAAATTATTATAAATATATTATGATAATATTTCTTTATTTGTGTATTTATGTTACTCAGAACTTATGGAGAATCTTCTGCTGTTTTATATTACAATAACATGGCATGTTTACATCTTGCTATGGGTAAACCAAATTTAGCTTGTTTCTATTTAAGGAAAGCTTTACATGAAAATAAATGTGCATTGGAAAGTGTACAAATAAAAGAAAGTGGTAATTATAATAACTAATTTTTATTTTACAATTTTACATTTAAAGATATTAGGAACAGTAGTTTTAAAGAAATTGTTTACATAGATCCTTTATCTTCACAACCATTGTACACACTTGGTGGGAATAGGCATTATGAATTAATGTATAGTTTAGGTGTGTCACTGTTACATGCAGGTCAAGCATCAGTTGCTTTTGATTGTTTTATGGAAGCTGCTCAAAAACTTCATAATAATCCTAAACTTTGGTTAAGAATTGCTGAATGTTGTATTTATTGCCATAAACCAGTAAGTATATTTCTTATAATTAGATTGTAATACAGTGTTTCAGAAAAAAAGCAAATTATTGTTTGTTATTTTCAGACAAATGAAGTTGATTTTAATATTCCAAAACGGAGAAAGGACTTAGTACAAAAAGTTGTTGGTTCTGGAATTTATAGAAAAATTATTTTAGCTTCCTCTCTTTCCAAAGATATAAAATATCATCCTGAAGGTTTTCCTTCTGCTATACCACAATTAACTTTGGAATTTGCATCTCTTTGTTTAAAAAATGCATTATTCTTATTACCAAATAATAATGAACTTAATGTACCAATGGCAACAATTGCTGGTTCACAAACAGTCCCATTATCATTAACAGCCAGTCATAATCTAGGTATTCAAAGTTTATATTTAAGAATATATATGTTTATAAATAAGATTATTATTTTTAGTATTTTAATTAAAAATCGTTTAGGTACCCAACATTCGCCCTTAATGTCACAAGCTACAGCCGTTGAAGCGTTAAATTTAAAAATAAGTGTTCTAGCTGCAAGTGCTTATGTTTGCTTATGTCTTGGTGATTACGTTATTGCACTTGAACATGCTAAAGCATTGCTGAATATTAATAAACTACCTGGGGCGTATAGAATGCTCGGAAATCTTTATGCCGCGGAAAGTTTGATATTTATGGATAAAATTAATGAAGCAATTGAATATCTTAAACCAGAAAATATTCCAGATCTAAATACTTTTGTACCTATTCCCGAAACTCAGGATAAAGACAAAGAAAAATCTGATGAGGTTATTTCGAAACCGATAAAAAGTAAGAATTAATTTAAATCATTTAATTCTTTCTTAAAATTAGTGATTATCACATATAATATGTGAAATTATAAAAAAAATACTACATATGTAAAGTAATTATTAATTATATTTTACAGTGTGGTATCCAACAACAGTCCCTACGGGTATTGCTGTACTCCGTTACAATTTAGCTGTAGCTTATGCAATTCGTGGTGAACTCGATAAATCTGGAGAAACATTAAAACAGGTAGTTTAAGAACTTTTAAAATAGAAATTTTAAGTGCAGTTTTTGTGAAAGTTTAAC